AGTTGGCACATTGTTGTCAAATAAATGTCTGCTGAATGACTTAATGACTGATAAGGACTAAAAGATGTAAGAAGTAAGTTAATGTTTCCTTAAATGTTTGAATCGTAAGCTCAATACATGGGAAGGACAACAGCACAAAACAAAGGTGATTACATAGTGTGTTTTAATTCCTTAAGAATGGTTTTTGAAATAGGCTGTGTGGGGCTACCAGCTTTGGTAGATTCACTGTAGGACATAAGGTCCCTATACTAATCTCATCTGGGGCCGCGGACATTCTGTCCAGCTAAGGCTGGTGATCAAGAATTCTTCCTGAGGTCAGATAAAGAGCTTCACAGATAAGGAAAAGCTAAAGGAGTTCATCACCACCAAACCAATATTATATGAAATGCTGAAAGGTATCCTTTAAGAAGAGGAAGAAGAAAAAGGTAAAGATACTAATTATGAACAAGTATGCATCTATCAACAAGTGAATCTAAGAATCAAGTGAATAAATAATCTGATGAACAGAATGATAAAAAAAAAAAAGAATTCTTCCTGGACTATATGAAATGGCCCAGGAAGTACTGGATCAACGTGGGACCATACTGATAAGCTCCTGGGGCTAAAAGAGGGCAGCCCAAACCAGATTTTTGCTCTTCTACCTAGATCTAAACTTTATGTCCCATGCCAGAGAATTCTATGGAATAGAGTCAGTCTGCCCCTCGGCTTCAGTCTAAATCTGATGGTGCTTAATGAGTGGTTTTTGCTCACCTTTATTTTCTGAGAAGAGTTTTTGGCACCCGAAGGACAGATCTTTTGAAACTCCTGACATTTGGACTTTTATCTTTGGGGAATGGATGTGGAAACACACTTTGGAAAATCACAGACTCCTAATGATTTTAACATTAATTTGGCAACTTAAATGGCAGACAATATTTAAAGATGGGCGTTATCTCTTTTATGCCACACTGTTCAGTCTGTCTTGGTTTCCTGGTGCAACTCCAAATTGAGAACCTGGAACAATGCCTGCCACAAATTAGATGCTCAATTAAAGCTTATTGAATGACTTAAGGTTTCTTTCTCCTCTGAAGCAGCCGGCTTACTTAGAAACATTTGAAGGACAGCTGGATAATTTAGGGCCATCTAGGAGTTCAGACTCATATTGAAACACTAGAGGACCAGTGCACAAAATTCATGCACTGGTAGAGTCCCTAGCGACTGCCAGCTGCTGGCTGGGGCCTCCCTCCCTTCCCCTGGCCCCCTGGTCGAACTCTTGGACAAACTCCCAGTCAAGGGGACAATTTACATAGTATATTTTTATTATATAGGATACTAGCAACTGGCACAGTGCAGACAGATCATTTCTCTGGAAACATCATTTCCCCAACCTATTCCTGAAAATTATACCATTGGCTTATATGGTATGGCGTGAAATCTACTCATCTAATCAGATGTTAGAAAAAGGAAGGGGAGATGTTTAGAGAGAAACAGAGTTGTGGAGCACTTTTAACCAAATATTGTTTGACCCCAAACTAAGCCCTTTATATAAAGCAGAGCTTTCTGGAAACACTTTTATTCAGCGATGGAATCTTATCGTCATCTTTGGTGAAATGATTCTTTGGTTGAAAAGTAAACAGCTAGCTAAGATGTCTGGTAACAACCATAGACAGAAACCTTTTTAATTAGAGCTTTTAAGTTCTAGACTTCAAATACTTTCTATATTATGGAGTGAAACACACGAACGGACTCTCAGCTATCCATACATATTTCCCAAACCTTAAACGCCGACCAGTTTATATCTTACAGTGCTTCACCCTGTAAAACCAATCACAATTTATGGACTATGCCAAAAAACTCAGATATGTGATTTTTCTCTTTAATTTTAAATGGTATCATATAGTATCAGTTAACCAAGATATTGTGTACAATTCTTTCGATTCTTTGCACACGGAGAAAATTCTTCTTGCTTCAAAGCACATTCTACCTATGCGGTTTAAGTTTGTCCTCCACATGTTACAAATACTAGAAAGGAATGACAGGAACCCCAAGGTCATCACACAATAGTGCGAAGAATGGAGGGAGGGATATGTCTAAAATGGGACCCTGTAAGACATAGCTGTCGCCAAAGAGGCTGTCATTCCAACCAAACAACCTAGGCAATTTAGTCCTGAACTTCCAGCACTGTTGCCATGGTTTCTAGACAAAGCTGACAGGGCTGCATTCCAATTATATCCTTCAGAATGGCAGATAACTTAAAAAATTGAAAATGGGGTAATAAAATTTCAGGTCACCCCAAAGAGATGTGATAGATACGTGTGACAGAGAAGTGGGAGATGCAAGTTTATGTTGGTCTAGAAAATGCTTTTGTGCCTTACAATGCAAATGTATATTCTGCAGACCCTCCACTTGTTTGATAGCAATTTATCCATTATCCAGTTCATTAGTCAAAACCAAGCATCTCCTGCTTAATAGATAATTTCTTAATAATATTTTAAACTTAAAAATTCAGTAATTAAGAGATTTTTAAAAAACATTTTTTAAAATATATTTTATTGATTCTTTTACAGAGAGGAAGGGAGAGGGATAGAGAGTTAGAAACATCGATGAGAGAGAAGCATCAATCACCTGCCTCCTGCACATCCCCTACTGGGAATGTGCCTGCAACCAAGGTACATGCCCTTAACCGGAATCGAACCCGGGACTCTTCAGGCCCCAGGCCGACGCTCTATCCAGTGAGCCAAACCGGCTAGGGCATAATTAAGAGAATTTAAGAAAAAAAAATCTCTTGAACTCTGAAAAGTAAAAAGAATCCCTTGACTTCTGATGATGGCACAAATATAGCAAGGCCATTTTTATCTTTAATTTTTCCAGTTGAAGGTGTTATTGTAAACTTTGCATCCGGCTTTAAGCAATATCTGCCAACCAGTGGTATTTTGCCAGGGTCAGCAGAACACTTGTGGCTGTGCTATTAGACTATAGTGAAGTCACTTGCCTCTGTTCAATGAAAGGAACCATTAGGTAGAGATCAATGAACTTAGGACGGTGTTGGCAGATATGACTTGAGGGTCAGATAACTTCATGATCCTGCATCTCTGCAGTTAAGCAGG